AGGGGGGGGGGGGAGTCCTTTCTGTTAAAAAGATGAGAACTCCTGCCTGACTCCCACCAACACCAAAAATGCTTTTGCCCTCATGTGGCAAGCCCTACCTTTGAAACATCATTCATTAGTTGCAATCTAGGTCACCTACAGCATCCCTTCAGCATCCTGGGAACTTAATGAAACTTTCCAGTGCAAGGAAGAGGCAGGGCAAGCAAGAATGCTGCATGGCAGGTATAGCCTGTGGAGTCTCTCCTCTGTTTTTGTGGGATAGCAGCCAAAGACAATGCCTTGCAGCCAGGTGGCAGGAAGCACCGTCAAGTCACAGCCAGCTTCTGGTGACCAATGCTCCCTCTAAGCTGTGGAGTCTCATGAGCAAAAATTCTACTTTGTGAGCTCCTGGCATTAAAGTTGTGAGCGAACGATTTGGTTACTGCATAAATTAGTTTGCTCTGGAGCCATCCTTCCTGAGCGAAGACAAAAATGTGTGAGCCGGAGGCTACAAAATTGTGTTCTAGCTCACACTAACTCAGCTTGGAGGGAACACTGCTGGTGACCCCATGTGGGTTTTCAAGGCAAGAGACAAACAGAGGTGGGTTCTCCATTGCCTGCCTCTGCATAATGATCCCGGACTTCTTTGGGATGACCCTGCTTAGTTTCCAAGATAAAGCTAGTCTGGAGCACTACATGTAAGATGAAGAAACAGCAGTTAGCAAATCGGCTCTCACTTACGCTGAAGGATATTCCTTTGCTCCAACTCTTCTGCTGTCGGTCTTTGACTTAACCGCCTAATTTAAGAACAGAACCACAAATGCAACATTTTAGGGCAAACAGAAAAGAGTGACCAGTAACCTAGCACATTCTCTGGTGGTGGCCACTGGTAAAATGCAGCTTTCCACCTCACTCACACTCAAAAGATAAGTCTCAAAGACGGGTTAGGCATCCCTTTCTCAGGCTCGGTATTAACGCAATGAATTGCAATGGGTTGGACCCTTTCACTCTGTTCCACTCGCAGAGGCGCATTCCACTGAGGGAAGGAGCCTCCCCCACCCCCAATGCTCTTCTAAGAGTCTTATGTCAGGGAAAGGTTCCACCTGCTGGAGGAAAGTGCTTCCACTGGTGGAAAAGATCCACAGGACCCAGCCCAATGTATGGGAGATAACAGTAACATGCCTGTACTGGATTCCTACCTCACGACATCCCAGAAACAATTAGTACACTCTGCTGGTGGTGGAAAGTGCCGTCAAGCTGCAGCTGACTTATCATAACCACGTAGGGTTTTCAAGGCAAGAGACATTAAGAGGAGGTTTGCCATTGCCTGCCCCCACACAGTGACCCTGGAATGCCTTGGTGGTCTCCATCCAAGCACTAAGCACGGCCAGCCCTGCTTAGTTTCTGAGATCTGATGAGATCAGGCTAGCCTCGGCCATCCAGGTCAGGGTACTCTACCCCAGCTCATACTGCTAAGTAACATTCAGTTTCCAGAATCTGTTGTGTACAGAAGTCAGCACCACATTAAAGAACTACTGCTTCCATCTGGAAAGTTCCAGAAAACTGGAACTTTTGCAGAAAGCTTACAAATAGATCTGTCCACGTGCACTGGGGAAATCGAAGACGGGAGTTCTTCCCAAGGAATCCATTTGTGAGCAAGTGTCTGGCATGCTGTTCAATAAGTAAGTTGGAGTGGTGATTTTCCAGCATATGTCAGCAGGAGGAGGTGGGCACCAGCCTTCTTTGAACTCAGGGCAGGGGGCACAAATGCCCCAGGCTTGCCACTTGATCTAGACTGGGGCATTTCTTGCAAGTAATTTCTGTATGGATCAGGTGAAATGCTTGGGCTCTGTCCCCTCCATGACCCAGAAGCAAACTTGCTGGGGTTTACTTTGGCTGAGCAGAAATTAACAAGGTAGAAGCAAGATGTTCCAGGGGTCCATTCCTTATGTGCCAGCACCTATTTAGCTCCTTCAGCCTAAGAAACTGCAGAGGGTTTTTTAACCCGCATGGGGAAAAGATGTTAAAACGCATGTTCAAATAACTGTGCCAGTGCTTCTGATACTTGCAGGGAAGATATACCAGATGCCACAGCCTACTTTGGTCTCGAAAAATCAGCCCCGTGAACAAACTAGGACCAGAAGTCAACCTCAGCAGGTTTTGCAGTGGCATCAGTATAAGTGCTAAGTGCAGTGACATCCTTCAGAAAGGGTACCCACGTCTCCCCCCGAGACAGCTCCCAGGCTCCCAAATGCATACTATAGCCCCCTGCCCCAGATCACATTTTCTTCTGCCCTGCCTACCTGATCAACGTCGTCCCGATCTGCTGTCGGATTTCATTCCACTCCTCCTTGAGGAAAAGTGTTCCCTTCTTGTAACTCCTGCCGCGGGGCCATGTTGCCCAGTTTCATGGCAAGGGTGTCTTTTCTTTTAACCTTGTTGGCTAGTGCACCTGCAGAGAGGGGGGAGAAATATTTATCTCTAATCAATCAAGAGTGATGCCCCTCCACATCTATTCCAATTCTTTCAGTCTACTGTTACCATTGTAAGTATAGGACATGAAATGAAAGAAACTGCCACCGCTGCAAAGTCAATGCAGAACATGCACTGAGGTAGGCTGCCCTTTAGATTCCGGACAACCCTCGTGACTTTTCATCTTTGTGGGACGTGCAGCCCCCGATTCAATATCATGCACAGTTCTAGATACCCCATCTCACAAAGGATATTGTAAAAGGTTTGTGGGAGTCAGTCAAAAAAACCCCAAAGGGTTGGAACACCTTCCCTTTGAAGACAGTCTGAAGACTTGAAGACTTAGCTTATGGGGATAGGGGCTTATGGGCGATGAGTTTTATAAACATTTGAACAGTATGGTTAAAATCAAGAGGAGTGTGATAGCTTTATCTTCTCTCTTTGAGAATACTAGAACTCAAGGCACACAATGGAACACATTAGCAGTAGATCCAAAATCTGGGAGACCCAGGTTAGAATGCCCACTGTACTACAGAAACTGGCTAGGTGACCATGGGGCCAGCACACACCCTCAGCCTAACCTACCTCACTGTCATCCACGAGGGCAGAGGGAGAAGGCACCCCCTTCTGGACCAAGTCTTTACTAATAACCTCTCAAAAGTACTTGACTATTAAATTGCATATTGTTTTACCTACCACAAGCTGCTTTCAGATCTGATTTTTGGCTCTAAAGTGGGCTAAAAACACAAAAACAGCCAGGCAAGGGCTATGGCTTTTCAGCCCTAATAGTGGGCTTCTCGGTGTCAACTGAAAGGCCACTGTGAGAAACAGGCAGCTGGGCCAGAGGGACCTTAGGTCTGATCCAGCAGAGACCCTCTGACATTCTTGTGGATTTTATTCCCACGGTGGGAGTCTCTTACTGTTATGGCTTTCATCGTCATCATCTTCCTCTGAGTCCTCCTTGTACAGAACAGGTCCCTCTGAGTCCGAGTCACTGGGCCCCTCTTCTTCATCCTGAACTGTTTGCAGTGCTAGCCTGGGGATGACTGTGACTGTCGGGTCCTCCCCAATGTAAACATGGGAACTGGAATGGTGCTCGTCTTCTTGGACATCCTCTACCTCTTCATCATCATCTGGACTAATGAAACAGCAAAAGTTACTAAAACACTTTAAGGATTTACACACCATTCTTTTACATTGTATTTATGAGTCGCAGCTGGTGGATTATAAAGTAAATAAATAAAAAAATTAAAAAGAAGGTTTTTTTAAAAAAAACCCTAAGTTTGCACAAGTACCTATGGAAAGTCAAGCCATAGTGCAGTCTGATAAAGTAAAAAACAGCAACCAAGCTGGGTTTTTTGTTTTTTTAACTTTGAGGCATAAGTGGTCACACTATGGCTACTAATCTTAAGAACATAAGAGACGCCAATGTTGGATCAGGTCAAAGGCCCATCCAGTCCAACACTCTGTCACACAGTGGCCAAAAATACCAGGTGCCATCAGGAGGTCCACCAGTGGGGCCAGGACATTAGAAGCCATCCCACTGTTGA